CTTCTGCCTGTTACATACATTTCAACAAAACCATTATACCCTGATTTCCCATTTTAAATGGGTATAAAAATTGATAGCAAAGTAATTTAAATAAATTATGGGACGTTTGCTAACCGGAGTGAAATCCAATAATTATTTCTTACTTTGATTCCTGCAGTCTATTCTATCGAGATTGATATTGATATTGATATTGATATTGTTATTGATTTTTTTATTTACGAAACGTCCGCTAATGGCGTGGTAAACTGCTTCTTCCTAAATTCAGATGGGTCAATGTTGAACTACTGAACAGATAAATATATAAATTATGTAGTTCGACCAATGGAGTCTTGCAGATAATCATATTTTGAGTCTTGTTCTTGTTGTATGAGCTCTTTATAGTTATTGTAGTTTCATTACCTCTTTTCAGGGTATAAGCCTCGATAATTCATCCAGTTAGCAGGCGCGTTCTTATACGTGCGTGTGTATGTATGTTTGCATAAAAGAAGTGTAGAATGATTAGAATATCAGCTTGGAGGGTTCAGAGAATGTCCTAGTCGAGCAGTCTCGACTAGAGCCTTCTTATTTGTTTTGTTTTATGATGATCAAATATTTGGAGGACCAAAGATATTTATTTAGATATCTGTTTAGTACAATATTTGCACAGGATTTCTAATCTAACTTCGGAAATTCTTATTTCTAATATTTTATCTGTGCTTTCATTGCTATTGTTTGTGTGCGCTCCACAGATGGCAGTCTGTCAGATACCACAACGGATCGCAAAAAGTGCGGCAACGTGGATCAGGAACGATCACCAAAAGGCGTCAGCGGGATGGGTAAAAAATCCAACTCGACGTCGCAACTGTCGGCAACAGGTAAGAGACTTGTTGCATTTTCTTTGTATACAAATCGTTTCAGTAGTCTTGTTGAACATGATCAGATATCCGAATATCAAATTACCAAAAATCATTAGTAGGCTCCATTCGAGTGATAGAATCAATCATTCACTAGACTAGAGCCGCCTCTTTGGTTTCTCACACTTGTATTTTTCGAATGAAAAAACTTGTTGATTTCACTAACTAATTCATCGATCATCTTTTGCATAATTCTTAACATTTTACTAACCGATCGTAACAAATACTTGAACGAAAAAAAAAAAAAACAAAACAATACTAAAATAACGCCATACTCAAAGGTCGTAAAAGACGTATGGGCTTTGGAAAGAAGGGTAAGAACTCGTTCACGGTGCATCGCAGTGAAGAGGTGCTGCCTGGTGATATCACGCGAGAGTTGCGCTCCTGCGGAGGTGCCAGCGGTGGTGCTGGCGGTGCCGGTGGCGGTGGCCTATCCCGTGGTTCGTCCTCGGAGGCGGACCCCATTGAGCAGTTTTTCGGCGATGGCGCTGGTGGGGAAAGGTGCGCACACAAGTCCAACTTATTCTGTCTCTTTTTGTCTCTCACTATCTGTGAAACTATCTTTCTATATAGCTAATTTCTCTATTTATGCTATGCTTTGAATTTATAGTTTTCATTTTGATTTCTGATTCCAATTGCTTTTTAGTTGCCTTTATCGGAAATAGAAGCAAAGAACAATGCTTAAAGTTCATGATGCTGATGACGATGATGATAAACATTAGTTACGAAAAAAAATCAAACATAATTACAAAGCAAAACACATTAATTTTCGGATAAGCAGGCTGCCATGTATTTCTAGTTGTAAGAAATATTCACATATCAAAACTAAAAAAAGTTGCGCTCGCTGTTTTTGACTCTCTTGCTCTCTACCTCACTCTTTCTCTCTCTCTCTCTCTCTCTCTCTCTCTCTCTCTCTCTCTCTCTCTCTCTCTCTATTAATCTCTGTCCCTCTTACTGAGTAATTACGCGTAAAAGCTTGCTGCAAGCTTTCTCTCTCATGCGCGCCGCTTCAGTTCTAAGCAATCTGATAGCCCTTTTGAGTTATTTGATTTTTAGTTCACCTCCAAGCGCAATAAACCAACCAACCAAAAAAAAAATCACCCCACCAACAAACAATCCAAAGTCGATACGTATTTTTAGGCTTAAACCAAAGAAATTGCTAAAGGACGTCGCACATGCCGAAAGCTTTGCCTGGCGGCAGTTGCAAAAGCTTTCGAACAGCTTGCAACTAAGAAGATACAGCAAATGCCGACCTACGCAAAGCTTTCGGCTGTGTGCGCTGACTGTTGACGGTCACTGTGGCTGCAGTGCGGTTGACTAATGGAGGCTCCCAACTCGTTCCGTAATGCATTTTAGTTTCGCAGCCACTTTGCCATTTTTATTTACAATAAATACTAACCTATAAAGACAATCGCCCGTTTAACCTTACTTATATATTGTTAGTGCCATTTATTACAACATAACATACTATATTGAGTTCAAACCAAACCATTATACCACCATTATACTCTTAAACTTTGTTCGATTTACATATGCATGCATTGAGTTATCTACTATTATAACAACAATAACTTTCAAAATACTTTTACCAGACATACTACTTTAGCTTATTACCTACCTACATACCTATCAGTCTATTACAGCCTTTTTAACTAGCTAAAGTAACTGCTTTTTAATATTAGCGAAAAGTACCGAAATCAGTCTTTGCAGTTATGTGGTAAGGATTGCCCATGGTATATAAGCCCCACTAAAAACAGTGCTAACAAAGCAGATACTGACATTTCGAAATCATTTTGCCATAAAGTCCACCGGTCCCAATTTCCGATTTCGATTTGCATGAACTGAAGCTTCTGCTAGTAGTATCGAAAAAAAAGTGAATATTAATAATTGAACTAATGTTTATCATCTGTTTTCTACAATTTTTCTGTTATTTTGCAAAACAATTTGATATTTACGTACGTATATACAGGGAGCTCTGTCAAAGAAAGCCAAAACCATTCAAAAAATTAAAAATAAATACACCAAGATACAAACAATAAACTAATCATACCACACAACAATATCATCAATGAAAATTTACATCGATTTGGAATATACATATATTCGAAATATGTATACATATAAACATACAATACATATATATATATGTATTGTATATATATATATATATATATATATATATATATATATATATATAATATATATAATACAAATACACACTAAGGAATTGAATCAGTGAATCGTAGCAAAAATAAATAAAACGTCGCAATTTATTCCTCACACACATTAACTCAGCAAACGAATACATTAAGTATTTTAAATGGAATAAATGTACTTACAATGAATATTGATTCCTTAAGTATTCGGCATTACTATAAATAATATATATACTACGACTATTTCATTTATTTTGTTTTTTCATTTTTGCCAGTATGATTTCGACTTTATTTCAAGTTTCGTTTCACTCTCTGTACTATAATTTCTGTATAGGCAGGATATATATAGATACATATGGGTGTATCCATACATGTCTATATGTACATGAATGTATACATATATATGCATACATATATATCTATATATATACATGTATATTCCCAGAGCCCAGCGTCGAGTATAGTTTGTATTGTATCGGGCATCGAGTAGAGGCCAGCTTCGCAAAACACAAGTCCCTTCATTCAGAGACGAACAGAAAAGAATCAAAGCATTGTTCAGTTCGAGCCTTTGAGTTTTTGAGTACATCTATCACTCATACATCAACCATATTGTACTATATAACTCGTACTGAACTCTCTCAATCGTTCACTATATGTATATGTGTATATATATATATATATACATACATATATATATGTTTGTCTATCATATTCTTGGCAGACCAATATCAGGCTCAGTATTTGGGCAGCTCGAGCGCGAGCGGCTCGTCCACTAGTCACCATCATATCACACTACCACCACCACATCCATATTATCAAAGGCAGTCGCGCGGCTCGGCGGGCAGCATCCAGCGGTCTGTGGAGGTGCCGCCGGTGCCAGCGGTCACCCGCTACAGCGCAGGCAGCATACATTCGATCTCAAGCTCCGAGGGCTCATCGTAAGTTTCTCTGGCCAATACAAAAAAGCCAAATAAATATACCTAACTACAACAGTTAAAATAAATAAAAAATAGAAAAAACTCAATAATCTTTCATCAAAACTCTCCTCGAAATTTCTGTTATTTTTTCCTACGAATCTTTCTCTCTATCTGCCTCACTCTCTATTTTCTTCAATTCGACTTCCGTTGCCATAGTCAACGATCTATCTCTCTCTCTCTCTCTCTCTCTCTCTCTCTCTCTCTCTCTGTAACATGCTCTGTCCCACTGTATCTTTCTCTGCCTTTCTCTCTCTATTTCTCGCTCTCGATCTTTCCTGTGTCATACCGCATACCACCCGACTAAAACACATATTTTTCTCTGATCATGTTATTTATCTGTGTCCAATCTTTGCCGGCATCTCTTTCTTGTTATCTACGTATGTGCGCCTTGATATATCGTTCGAGCCAGTCTGCATTTTTGTATATCTATAAATATATTTGCGTTCTGTTCTATTTTCCGCTTCACTTCTTTGTGTAATTTTCCGTCTAATATATATGTCCAAAATAAATTTGATTTATTGTCGCTTAGCTCATTATTTCCAAATATACTTGTATGATTTCCTTAAATATGTATATATTTATACTATTTGATGTGTGTGTAAGAAAAAATAAAAATAAAAATAAAATGCAAATAAAATAAAGTAAATTACAGGCCTTAAGCTAAACTCTATTAACTATTACTAATGTACTAGGCACCTAGACTTCATTGTGGCACCATTGATGTACCATTTAACTTCCTCATAGACACAACGGGAACTATTTTATGTATTGTAATATAAATATATGAATATATTTATACAAATATATGTAAAATGCTTCAGTAATTCTATTTTAACTAAGTACAATTTATATTGGCTTTGTTGATTTCAGCAGCAGAAATCAAATGAAAAACAAAAGCTTGCATGCTATTAACTCTCTTGTGTGCACTACTCTGTCAGTACATGGTCCACTACTACCACGAACCAAAACCACAACCACATCCACATCCACAACCACACTTACCATACCCATCCACAGAACCAGTCGTAAACCAACGTACACAACAACCACCAAGACTTACAACAATTTAACTGTCTTTCTACAACTCCCTGTGTATAACAGTCTGGTTCCACAGACGATCTTCATAAAGTTTCTCGACATTCCATCAGATACTGATTAATCAGTGGAACCGGGCTAAAACTGTTCTTTTTTCTCAAAATCTTGTACTTCTTTGTTTTTATTCCTTTTCAATGAGATCTATGTGATGAATGTTCTGTATCGAATACCTTTCTAAAGTCTTTAACTTTTTAAACACGAAACACAAAAAAAAAAAAAAAAAAAAAACAAAAAACTGAAAATTCCTATAGATTTTCGCCATCATTACGCAATGATGGAGCCCTGAATGAGTTTGTGGATGGCCTTGGACCGGGTCAATTGGTTGGTCGTCAGGTGCTCGGCGCCCCCTCACTAGGTGACATTCAGCTGTCGCTGTGCCATCAGAAGGGCTTTCTTGAGGTTGAGGTGATACGAGCCAGAGGCTTGCAGGTAAGTGAATGCACAAATCAACTAAAGGAGGGGAGTATCTAATACGTAATACTATGCACCTGGCAGCAAAAGCCGTCGTCGAAGATGTTGCCCGCGCCCTACGTGAAAGTTTATCTGGTGTCGGGCAAGCGTTGCATTGACAAGATGAAAACCTCTACGGCTCGGCGCACGCTGGATCCGCTCTATCAGCAGCAATTGGTATTCAAGCAGTCGTACAGCGGTTGCGTATTGCAGGTGAGTGAGCCTAGCTGATAGATATATATAGATCTATTAATTGACATCAATTATCTGTCCAGGTGACCGTTTGGGGCGACTACGGCCGGATTGAAAAGAAAGTGTTTATGGGTGTGGCACAAATAATGCTCGACGATCTGAATCTATCGAATATCGTTATCGGCTGGTATAAGCTCTTCGGCACCACCTCACTGGTCAGTTGTCCCACTAATATAGGTTTAGGCTCTAGGCGCTCATCAATAGCCTCACTCGACTCACTCAAACTCTAAACTACTTGAACTCAACTCAATTCAACTCAAACTTAACTCAACTCAACTCAGCTCAAATATTATTATTATATATAAAAATTCAACTCAATATCGACTTGCTAATTGATTTAAAACTAAAATACTCAGAGCACGAGCCAAAGATATAAATACATGCATATATATAAATACATATACATACACATATGTAGCTACATTTTATTCAACAGTATTGACATACGAAACAAAAAACTTCAAATACAAAACAAAAAAATTTAACTTCGTAGTTAAGCGATTCACAAAGCATCTGTACGAACACAAACAGCAACAAAAAAGATAAACATGAAACAATACCAAATTTAAATAGTAGTTGAAAACCAACAACAAATTGATTGCATACATATTTTGCATTTGTTTTTAGTTAGCTAAAAATACAAAAGAGCACACACGCGCACACACCTGTATATGAATCGATTACACCGCAAAATCCATTATAATATATATCCATATATATATTTATCAGTGCCAGCAAGAGATCAGATATATATATATATATATATATATATATATATATATACTTAAAAAAAATGAAAGATTTTAAGCCAAAAGAAAGTTAAACACCTATCGAAAGTCACCTAATATCTATATCACCGTTATCGTTACCGTTACCGTTACGTTCTTTTGGCATAGCATACAACTTCAACGTAGTTATATATAGACTCGAACAATACTCATATAGGTATGTTTCTCAATCCCCAACTACCTGAAACAAACAACCAAAACCACGATCAATTTAGTCTTCTGCATGCATGTAGTTAACGTACCATTTATCGTAATATCGTACTATCATATCCTTATCATTCATATCGTATGCGATAATTCCTCTTTGACCTATTTTCTTATACTACTTGCTAACAAACTCTAAACTACTCGATTCCACTAACTTTAATCTTGCTTTGCCCAATTCCTGAACTAAACTCGAAACATGAACACATTAAGAATTCAAAGCCCAGAACCCAAAACCAAAAGTAAATCAAAATGGCAAATTTCGGCTAGCTGTCAACATAGATTGTTAGACACACATTATATTATAATCATATTAGTTAGGGTTAACGAAGCTGATGAATGACAATTACAATGCAATTCTCGAATGTGTACCCACATCAGGGTCGTCCGATTGTTTGGGCCGGTGAATCAATAATGGAGGAGCAGGGTGAATAACACTTTCCAGCTACAGTGAAAACACTTTAAAGCACCAAGCACAAACAAATTCCAAACTTGCAAACTGACCTGAATTGTAAGTGCACACACTATAACTAACAACTAACTTATGCATATTGATAACGATTTTATTCTCCACTTATTGCATACGAATGAAGCTCTTTTTTGTTCTTAAGCAGCTTTCTGTATAACGCGCTAGCACAGCCATTTGCCATTTTACTATCAAATAACTGCCAATCGACAATAATACTAAACAAAAACAATCAAAAGCAAAAAGAAAAAAAAACCGCTCACAAGCAAATAACAATTAATTTGCCCGCTAATAAACAATTAACATTGCATTATATAAGAAATACATTTGCCGAGATGCCGTTAGCTAATTTTTTGGTGGTAATCGTTGCAGTAACCCTTGCAAAGAGCTGCCAGCCAGGCAGCCAAATAGCAAAGGACCAAGGTCAGCCAGCAGGACCTGCTACGCTTTGTTGGGAGAGGTAAAGGAAGTAGAACACCCCGGATGAGCATCTGGAGCTGTCGCCCGATACTCCCATTCGGCATGTTGCTGGCCTAATCTATGTCCAATTTGTATGAAATTTTTGATTTGTATAATTGATTTCTTACTCTTATTCTCGATCGGAAGATATCCTTAGGACAGTAAAGATCTAGGTAATTTTGTAAGTCATGAAAACAAATGCATTTAAACCCATACCCGCTAATACAAGCAGTGCAGTAAAAGATTAAACTGCACCATAAAATTCAAGATATATAATATTTAAATATAATGCGATCTAACATAAAAGAGAGAAGAATATAAAATATTATAAAAATATGAAATTAAAGTGAATTTGTAACTGAATGAGAGCGTATTTGAAGACATTTTTATTACACACTTAAGATCGCTATTATTTTCGTAATACGATTATGATTATTATTATGAATAATTATTATTAATAAATAGATATACAGACAAACAGCAGAAAATATGCAAGTTGCACACAACCAAGATAAGGTGCTAATGTCGGTAATACACCTAAAGAAAAGTCAGTAAGATGGAAAACAAAAAGAATAATGGGATAAAAGATGATAAATAATTACAATAAGTAATTGGAGGAAGCAGGATGTGGAGACAAAGATTTACGTGCAGATGCAAGTTGTTTAATAGATAAATCTAAATCAATAAATTAAAGTTATAGATTTTCAAGAAAATATTTACGAGTATATACTATATACAATATATGTATACACAAATATATACATATATATATATATATATATAAAAGTTTAAGCAAGCAAAGAACCACTAACACTTAAATAAGCCTAACGTACGATAAATTAAACTTAAAGTTATTCAGAAAGTAACTAAAATGAGATATATGATATATGAGATATATAATAATCCAAACCAAATACTTATTAAGCGTGACGATTGAACAAATTTAATTTAGAAAATGAAAACAAACAACACACACACACTTACATGAATACACAACAAATGTAATTCTTAAGCTGTACATAGATAACATACAAGTACACACACACATATTTATATATATATTATATATATATATATATATATTTATATATATCTGTATATATATATATATA